GCAGCCGCGTGTCTGCAGGTCAGTGGGTAGGAAAGCGCTCGCTGCCTGAACTTGAGGCAGTGGACACAGTAATGTTGGCTGTCCGCCGTAAGTGTCTGTACAAATCGACGTCACAGTCTTGAGGATCCCTTCGCAGCTGGAGGGGTAAGTAAAAAAGGACTAGTTGGGGGTTCCTAAACCTCCTGTTCCTTTCTTGACCTTGTGTTCGTCGCTCGGAGGCCCCGGTCTGACCTTGCACCTGTTTTTCTTATCTAATCGCTGTTTTTCGCCAACTTTGAGGTTATTCCCGGCCTGAACGAACCCCTCAAGGGGCCGGAAGAAGCCCGTGCATTTGCTCAGGAGTACGGTCTGCCCATCATGCTCAAGGCAGCCTACGGTGGCGGTGGCCGTGGCATGCGTATCGTCAACAGGATGGAGGTGAGTACTGACACCGGCCTCTTGAAACGTACACCGAATTTCTGAATTGCGTTTTTGGTTAGGAAAGGTTACCTAAGTAGGGGGGATCATAAGATCCATCATCCTTCGACATACTTCCGGACTGATGGTTTTTGAATGCAGGTTCTTTTGGCCGCCTGCAAAAAACCACGCTCAGTACAATCGGACTAATTAAGTAGTATGCTTTTTTCCTGTTGATTTTTGGGGACCTTATAAACTCAGAAATATTTTATCCCCGAAAAGGGCTATCTTTTTGTTTTAGAGTAGTTGTTAATCGTGTGATTGCGGAAGACCGTATCATGTCCATTCAAATTGCATTGCATCTACTAATACCCCTAACGAAGTCAGGCCAGGTTTATTAGGGAAAATATAGACAAAGGCCTTTGAACTCCCTATTGGTACGGAGCAGCTATGAGCTGCCTCGGTTCAGCAGAACACTTCAAAAGAGTGGCGATACAAGTAAATGGAAGTGAGTAAAAAGAGCAGACAGTGAAAACCCCCTCAGGCATTGTTCGGAAATTCTAGAAGTTTGAATGCCATTTGGGGGATTTTAAGGAGAAAAACTGTCGCATAACACAATCCACATGCATTGCAAATTCGTATACAAGTGGGTCGCTCACCAATCTGGTTAACGAACATGCATGTTACCTTTTTTTCCTGGGGCTCACAAAGCAACGAGCCCGTGGTACAGTGGTAGAGTGCTGTACTCCATGACCAAATGTCCCGGGTTCGAATCCCACATGATCCACACCTGGATACGGCTGGCTGATGACGGCTGATAAGCCATAAATGACCATTCCGGCCGCCCTTGTTTTTGTCGGTTCCACCTTTCCACTATATAGCATCTTTCAAATGGCATACAGGAATACAACAATTTTCCACTGAAGCGATTTAATATCGGCAAAACAGGTGTCGCCAGTACGGTCAATAA